CGACTAACTACAGGATCGCTGTTCCCCTCCGCACTAGGTAAAAAACCCACCAACACTATGATTCAAGAATATTCACTGTTTTATATAAAATTATCATAAAAAGTGAATTGAAGAATATTCATTGATTAAATTATGGAAATTGTATCGATATGTTTGTTTCCACGAACTATATTTCTTTTACGGGGAAAGTCACGAGACAACATTCTCTGAGCAATACCATGGGCTGTTGTAGCCCTTGAACAAACACTGCGAAACTCGAATTTAAAAGTGCGTTTCGAACTAAGAAAATAAAATGAAAAAAAATGAAAAATGTAAATATAAGCATAAACCTATAACACGGAACAGGATTGCAGAGTGATAATCATAACGAGCTTACCCGCGTTTCTCATTTTTTCTGCAATCCTATTCCGAGTTATAGGACCATCACACGTAACAGAATGCTGTTTAATGCTTAGATAACCTTTGGTTAAACAAGTATTTGGTCTTACACCAAACTATTAACTATCGGATGGAATATCGTTATACGATATACTCTACAGATTAAAACCATGATAAGATACAGTAGAAATATTAGCAATGTGCTATTAAAGGTTAATATATTCAATTCCAAGATAAATAATACTTAAATATGACATATATTGAAAAATATACAATGTAAATATATACAAAGGAGGATATGAATAGAAAATACGGTATATACAATGCACTTTTCAACTATGTCACAATGTTAGTATTGGTTTATGACGGTTCTGTAAGTGACATAAATGTTGAGGAAAAATGATAATAGCCAAATAATATACGATTTGTATCATTGTTGTAAATGTATGTTACAATAAAAAGAACAGATCTAGTCCTACATAATATTCACCAGATTTATTTGACAAACTTAAGATTCCTAGCTTTAAACTCCTCCAGCGATGCATGTCATAGTTGGAATGCGTAAGCTGGTACTTTTTATTGTTATAGAGGAAAACGTAAAACTCGTATTGATCATTAACTAACCATAAAGACCTTGAACTAACAATTTAAACGCTGTGAGAATTGTAAAACTACGACTAT